CTCATGAAACCAGCAACACAGAGGTAGTAGACACTTTTTTTTTTAAAGGGCAAAAATAAAGAAAGAAGGAATTAATTACTGGATTATATAAATCATGACAAAACCAACATTCTCACTTCCCATGAACAACACAACACTAATAACAGGTTTTCATACTTCCAACTTCATCTAAAACTTTTCATAACTTTTCGAACTTCCGTAAATACCGGTACAAAGAATATAATGTATAAGAACAACATTCAAAACCTGAATATCTTTTCGATATATGTCAGTGCTTTCGTTAGTGCGTGCTACACTGTATTGACTAATTCCAGTTCCATCCGGACCTATGTTTTTCACTCACAATTGTACGAGTGCTAGGAAGATAAAAAATATACGCAATATGAGATGTTTTTACGGCTCCATCGACACAATTTAGATCATGAAAGAGGTCAGCTACCTCAACCCTCTCTGCCGGGCCGAGAGGAATACAGCATCCTAGAAGACAGATACAGACACTCAAAAAACAACAACAAACAAACAAACAAACAAACAAAAAACGACAAAAAAACAACAACCTCATCCCAGCACAGGAATGAAAACCCAAGTCTACTGCGCGTGACAGAAAAGCGCCTAACCGCTACATCACATATGCAAACAAACGCTACGTGACATCGCACACGCTGTTATGTTTTACAAATCCAAACAGGGTGAGAATGTAGGAAAGATTATACTGCTCTCATACCACTGATGCAAAATACAAAATGACGCAGTCTGCAGTCGAGAAAAAACAACTAAATGACGCAGTCTGCAGTCTAGAAAAAACAACAAAATGACGCAGTCTGCAGTCTAGAAAAAACAACAAAATGACGCAGTCTGCAGTCTAGAAAAAACAACTAAATGACGCAGTCTGCAGTCTAGACAAAACAACTAAATGACGCAGTCTGCAGTCTAGAAAAAACAACTAAATGACGCAGTCTGCAATCTAGAAAAAACAACAAAATGGCGCAGTCTGCAGTCGAGAAAAAACAACTAAATGTCGCAGTCTGCCACCTAGAAAAAAACACATTCGATGTCTGATCCTGGTACCTGCCTCTTGACATCTAAAAGTGACATGAGACAACAGAAACGGAGTGCGAGGCTGTTGTCGTTTTCTCGTGCTCACAGCATTTGACTTTTCTTTTAAAAGCCAATCAGTTTCTTGCACTCACTGCAATTCATATTTTCCAGAAAATCAATAATTAGTTTTCCCACTCACTGCCACAAACATTTTCCAGAAAATCAATAATTAGTTTTCCCACTCACTGCCACAAACATTTTCCAGAAAATCAATTATTTTCTTGTATTCAGTGCAACTGACATTATCCAGGCAATCAATTACTTTCTTACAAACACAACAACCGACATTTTCTATAGTATCACTATTCTCTTCCAGCGGCATTTTCAACCCCTTCAAAAATGTCCGGTCTGTTTAAGTCCATTTCCTATAAGACCGAACCAAGGAGGTACCGACACTCGACAACTTTTGTCATCAGTGACATCACAAGGTGACCACTCTGCTGCTAGTTGAACTGAAAACCCAGTATCTAACAAACTCATCTTTTTTTGCAAATTAAAAAAACCCCCAGAAAACAAAAGGGTTTTCTGCTGTAACTTCTCTTACAATTGCCTAAAGAATTCAAATAAAGTTTGTATAATAATAACATTTGTTAAAATAACGTGCAGCAATACCACACGTACATAGCAAAGCAAAACGTGGACATTTAAGCATAAATTCAATTCTTTTTTAAAAAGGCGAAATGGCCGCTGATTCACAAAAACTAGGTTTTTAACCATTTAAATCTCAGCCAACCCGGGCAGGGAGGTATTCAATGTCCCAGCAGACAGGCCGAAACACTCTGTAAACCCC